ACTGGCATTGCTTGAGCGCCTACCGTTTTGGCTCCTTTGACTTCAATTGAGAATGGTGTGAATTTTTGTCTTGATTTCAATGTAGGCCTGTGGAGGTAGACGCGTGAAATGTATGTTTTGAGCAGCCTCTACTGCCGCCCTGTGCGAGAATCAACAATTTCTGTTTTTCGCGGTGCCTTCCTACTGGTGTGGTTTGTCTGTTGTGCAATTTCTGGTGCTCTTGCGTTTGTTTTCAAAATTAGTCAACATCAAAATTCGTCTTCTGCACCCCCTTAAAAATCGAAGAATGTTGCTAATCGGAAAATCGTTAACAATTTTCCAATTTTCCACACAACGAGCCTCCCTCCGCTGATAGGCTGATTATCTTTCCCAAAAAACTCACTTTTCAGGATGCCCAAAAATCGGGCTGGAAAAAAGTCCCGCCGTTCTTACAGTGAGCCGGATTCCTGAGGCGGATTCTTGGGGGGTGGGTGTAGATCAATCCAGACGACATTATCATCGAGTGCGACCTGAGTTCTTGGCGTATCGCTCCCATCAAGGGCTCCCAGCAATCCTACGCTGAAGGGCTTGCTATTCTGCACGCTGGCTGTTGATGGTCACTCGGCACGCGTGCGTAAAAAAAACAAAATCGCACCGCACCGAGCATGGAGACGCCGAAACAGGCCAAACCGCCACGAGACAGCAAAAAGAGTCGCTTTTTGTCAGAGAGGGGAGGACGCCGCAACTGATTTCTCGCTCCCTAGGCCACCGATCGAAGCCAGACCAGTCAGGGCGTGCTCTCTGTTCCTTGCTCTCTGCCGGAGTAGACTTGCTCGGCAGCGCGTACTCTGGGTCGACGGAGAGAAGCATGCGCGTGGTGCCCGTTGCTTTTTCGAACTGTGATTTTTTTCTGGTCTGCTTCACTTGAGAAAAGAGTAATGTGTTGAAGGCCTGGAAACAATTTTCAACAGACAGCTTGTGTACACGCAGACGACAATTTCAAATGATTGTATCAACGAGCTGCTGAGCAAATCTACTCCGGCAGAGAGCAAGGAACAGAGAGCACGTCCTGACTGGTCTGGCTTCGATCGGTGGCCAGAAATCAATTGCGGTGTCCTCCCGTCTCTGACAAAAAGCGGCTCTTTTTGCTGTCTCGTGGCGGTTTGGCCTGTTTCGGCGTCTCCATGCTTGGTGTGATGCGATATGATTTTTTTACGCACGCTTGCCGAGCGGCCATCAACAGCCAGCGTGCAGAACAGCAAGCCCTTCAGCGTAGGGTTGCTGGGAGCCCTTGATGGGAGAGATACGTCAAGAACTCAGGTCGCACTCGCCGATTATGTCGTCTGGGTTCACGCAGCGGTGAATTTTGTGGGATGAGAAATCTGGGTGGGCACCATCCTGATTTTTTCCAAACTTTTCGGGTGGAGGCCACCCAAATAGCTTAACCCGGATTTTGTCGACCCAAAAAACTTGAAGAATCTGGCTGTATAAGAAGCCGGATTTCTGCCCATTCTGAAAAGTGAAGCTTTTTGGGAAAGGAATGCAGGTGTGTAAGAATCAGCATTGAAACTGGTTTTTTTTCCTTATCGTGGGTTCTGGCGAGACTGTCAGGAACGATCCTCAGAACGATGGCTTACATCAAAATATATTTCCTAAATTGGGAAAAATTTTGAGTCCGGAAGAGTCGATATGTACTATAAGATTTGGTCCCTTTTCATTCTTCGGCATTTCTTGCTCTCGCGGTAGCGAGTCTTTTCTCGCGTTTCCTTCTCAGGGGCATGCAGGAGGCTCGTCGGTACATTATCGCCCGTGCCCGGAGCTCGGTAGGCCTCCGTGGCGCGTGTCGTTGACGGCCAAAGTTGCGAAAACTGGCTCAAAACCCCGGGGACGCGTTCCGCGCTTCAAAGCCTGGCGAACCAATTCTGAAACCTGTCAAACCCATCAAATAGGACGGTTTGACATATTTGCCTCTTTCTTCTCCACTTTCATTCGTTCATTCATTCATTCGATGATTCATGGCTGTGGCTCTTCGTGTCATCGCATTGTCCGACAGCAGTACCTACGTTTACTACACTTCGCAACGGGCCAAGTGCAGACAAGTCTGAGAGCATGCATCCAGCCGCAGTGTTGAACATGTCCAATTCGTGGTGTTGTTTCGGCTTCAAATTCGGTTCTCATCGGAAACCTGCCATCAATCAAAGACATCATAGAAGTCTGAGTTTTCGCTGTCAAAATATTGTCCGCTCGAGCTGGCTCCAATGTAGAATAACAACGTGCGAGATGTTTTGTGCGGAAATACAAGCGTTGTACGACACACAGTCCCTCTCCGGGCAATGCGCATGTGGTCTTGCGTCACCTGAGTGAGGGAGGGTAGACACCCACGTCCCGAAGGGAGACCTTGTATGTATATATAACAACGTGCGAGATGTTTTGTGCGGAAATACAAGCGTTGTACGACACACAGTCCCTCTCCGGGCAATGCGCATGTGGTCTTGCGTCACCTGAGGGAGGGTAGACACCCACGTCCCGAAGGGAGACCTTGTATGTATATAATAGTATTCTAGAGGAAACTCTGTAAAAGAAAAGAAATGGGGACATGCGAACTACAGCTCACATCCCTGCGGAAATATCGTGTTGGGCCTCGCTCAACATGCAGCAGCAGTGTACATACATACATAGGTGTTGCGAGCGGAACAGCACTGCTGTTTGTAGTATGCATATATATATGGCGGTTGGTTGTCCTAATTAAATGCTGTAAAGTCAATATACAGCTACTACATACAATAGATCGATCGTAAGATCTGCAATCAACAAGTGCACTCGTGCCTGCAATAAAGCACGAGTAACGCGGGAATGAAATCAGGAGCCTATGCTGCTTTGGGTGCGTCGCTGAGTTGGGTGTCTACTGTGCTTCCCAACAGCAGTTAGAGATCGCAGCACAGCAAAGCTTGATCGGTGCCATGCTCATCCCATTATCTTGGACATACAATAAGCCATACAATACGAAGCAATGCAGCGGATTACGTCGGGCTCATTACGTCGAACAACCTTTACCTCTCTCTGTGAAACACTGGAACGACGTGCGCGGGGGCCAGTTTTCCTAGTCCTCGATCACAGGATCTGCTGCCGTGCCCTTTGATCCAGATGGGAATGCTCACTGCTCACTGCTCACTGCCACACGGGATGTGAAGCCAGCAGCCATGTGCAGGCAGCATGCAGGCGGCGGAACATGTGCGTACACTGCGAATCCCCCCTCCCCCCATTTTTTTTTTATTTTTCTTAATATGACACAACGAGAAAAGAGTCTGAGACAGATTTTGTTTTTCCCCCCAAACAGAGCAAAAAAAAACGGCATTTCGCGCGCCCCCCCGTTGGCAGACTCTTGGATTTTGTTCTTTTCGTCTTTTGCCCTCTCGCGCCCGCGGCCGCACTATCGGATTTGTGGGTGGCTGAGATACATGGCGATGAAAGTGAGTTTCTTCACGAAGCCGAATGACGAAATATATCAGTATCGTCGAGGAATCCTAATCTGATAGTAGTTGCATTCTTCTACCTTTGCTTTGTCTGGTAGACTGTAGACTAAATCTCTGTCTGGTAGACTAGAAGACTAAATCTAGACTACTATGTGTTGAGGACGATGACGACTAAATAGACCAGCGCTGACTACTTTGTAGTGGTCTAGTGGTCATCGTGCTTCTCAACGCTACAATGCATACAGAGTAGACAGATAACGATGTACTGTGTACTTCTAGCAAGTCGCAAGTCGGCGTCGCGGCACGAGTAACCTATGCCGCGCGTGCCCGAATTGCCAATTTAGCTGCGCTTGCCTCTGCCGTGTGACGAAAACAGCCTGCTTCGGTTCTCGAAGTATTTAGACCAAGGGAACCAAGGAGAAGCTGTCTTATTCTACGTACCTGTACTGTGTACATGTACGTGTGCAACGCTTCTTCTTGCCCACTCGAGGATCGATCTTTTTTCTGCACGCGCCACTAGGCCTGCCGCTGTCACCATGCCGTCCACAACGGATAACGTCAAGCCCAACCAAGCTCCCCTACTCGGCTTGCCTGCCAACGCTCCTCCCACTGTGCCGCACCGAAACCCGTTGGCACGCGCTCGACATGGAACAACAGCAGCAACACGTATATTCGACTGCGCCCCAACGATTGCCAGGCAGGGCCGCACATGCTGGCCCGCAACGAACGCTCGAGAGCTTTTAGCCGAGGAAAAGCGGCAGAAGGCGGACGCGGCTACGGCCACGGCCGAGAAACTACATATATATGTAGTGCTTGTACGTGCGGGGGCGCCGAAATACTGAGAGAGATTCACTGAACGCGAACGACCGACATAAAAGAGAAAGCTAGACAGTACTCTCTGGCCAGTGCTGAGCAGCAAGAGGCCGGGTAGACAGGGTTGCCGCCATAGTGCAATATTGTGTGACGGTTCCACGCGTACGCCGTCTGCGCCGTTTGTTGGCGAGGTCTGTAGCAAGCCGTCGAATCGTGAAAAATGACGACACACGACAGTATGAGCACCGCCTTCTTCTCGAACCCCGAGAAAAACAGCCAAACCCCGAGAAGAAAAGTCAAAATCGCCAGACGGTGAGTTTGAATGAGCGCTATCAAGATGCAACCATCGCCATCGCCCGACGGAAAGGGAGGCGGAGCAACAAGAGCACTTCGGCAAGACTCAAACGCGCGTTACATTTGCGTGAGTAGCTCAGTTCGTCACTATGCGCGCGTTACATTTGCGTGAGTAGCTCAGTTCGTCACTTTTGAACGTGGCAAGCAAGAGACACGCTGTTGATACTTGTTTCAGTAGCAATACAAGCAACGCGAGCACTCGCATTTGTTGGGTGTTCCGAAGCTATATTCCCGGTCGTCCAAGGTCGTCGTCATATTTTCATTGCAGCCAAGGCCTGTCTATCCTTGGAGCTGCTCAATGTGTACGTATCCGATTCCTGTGTAGCTGCCGTGACAGGGTGTACGTGGCGAGAAGTACAGAACATCCACAACTCCAGCGAACTACGACAAAGCCTGTCTTTCCGATTCTCGCAACGTTTCGAGTGCTTCTCGCCGCTCTTCAAGAAGTTCCTTCGCAGATTCATCCAGCATTGCCATGTCGGGGCGAAACCCGTTCAAGATCCGATGTCGACCTGGCGATTGAGGTTGCCGTTGGGCAGTAAAAGCCACACAACATGGATGGGAGAGGGAAAAAATCTCAAGGTACGTCAGAACGCGTTGATACACACGGACAGATTCCCAGTCATCTCCACGTTAAAGGTGCACAAGGTTTCAATTAGCATCCTGTGCGAGAAAGTATCTATAAGGTTTCAGGAGATGACACGCCATTATCCCTGGGGTCAATGGAGGTATGTTGTACACCAAACGATACGTCTTGGCGAGACGAGTGGTAGCGCGAAAGGCAAGGAAGAAAATACAAGGTGGCGGCAAGTCAGGCCACCATGTGAACGTCTTATCAATGCAAAACTCGAGATGAAAAATTGGTCAACGTTACTTGGCACCATGCAAGGTTGGTCAACTGCACTCCGTGCGCGATAGGATAGTGATGTAATGCAGTCACAACATGTAACTTCTTCAAACCAAAAGTGATGCTGTTGAACTGCAGCCGTGCGTGTGCACCAAACATACTCTTGCCCCTTCCGTAAATCGTGAATACTTGCCTACACTTGACTAGAGCGTCACATGAACGAATGAACAACTTTCGAATAAAAGGTGCCCGCAGTTTTCTGATTGCCCAATATTTTTTAAAGGAATAATCCTTCGACCGAAATTTCCGACCGATGAAGTCATCCACGGTCATGACGTCACATCTCTTTTTGCAGCCATCACTGCCATATATGCATACCTTCTCCGCACTCGACAGGAAACGAGAAGACAACGTCGTCCGGGACACCATATGGGTTTCCATCTGAAAACACGCCCATCGATACACCGGCATGCGTCCCACTTGTCGAAGAATGCAACCAGTCCTTGAGGTGGTTTGCGATGGCGTTTGCGGCGGAGAGGGCGCTTGATTTCCCTCTGGCCTCGATCACTTTCGTACCCCTGGATTTGCGGTCGTGTGTCACGAAAGAAGGGCGTGTGCGTTGATCAAACCGAAGAGGATGAGCACAGTGAACGGCCGCCAATACTACTCAAATGTAATGACAACCGTCGCCTCTAGGAGCAGAGAAGGACGTTAGTCCAAGAAGCGGCGCAACAGCCGCTTATGAAAACATCTTACGCATAGACACTCCAGGATTGTGACCAACTCGAGCGATTGCTTCAAACATTATTGGTGCCACCCCCCATCCCCCATTGACAGAATCACCCACGCAGTTGCAAGTGATGGCGCTGACAACGCATCACCAATCTCGCCGTTTTTGGTGGGTATCCCTGGGGGCCCCTCAAAACGCGTGAGACACACTTTTGCTATGCTGTGCAGGGTACAGAGGCGCTGAACTTGCCAATGGCTGAGGGTCACATAGACGGATGATGCGACGAAGAACAAGAAAACGACGCTGGAAATTCGTGGGAAGGAGCACGACCTGTCAAGAAACGAAACATACGTATCCAGGCCTTTCCGTGGGGAAAGTTGTTGCTCCGTGTGGGTGAGCACCGCAGAGCGGGGGAAATATGCTGCGAGTTATGGACGATGGCGATACGAAGAGAAATCTTCCGTTGGCAGCGCCTGAGAGCACAATGATCTTATCTTATCTACTTCGAAGTAAGACTATTCTTGGTCAAGAGAAACATTTACAGGTCCACATGCGGCATGAAGGTGTACTGCTAAAATATTTTCATACTTCGGCTACAACCGTATTCTCGTACACAGTCCTTCGGGTTAAACGAAAGCAAGGTAGGGTGATGGAAAAGACTCTTGAACCCCTGTTCACTACGAGGGCGCCCACGGGGTTTTGGCACACACCCTTTTATTCTCATCTATTTACACTGCTTTTTATGGGAGCGTGAAGTTGCGAGAAAAGGAAAAGTTTGTTTGCAAGTTTTGGTCGGGAACTTTTGTCAAAAACACTTTTATTGCACGCTCACTATGGGGCGAAGGAAGTTTCTTCACGTGACTGGTGGAACGCGGAGGCGTGATCGTTTTTTGTTTATTGAGCAACGGCGAGAAGCAGGCATACCCCTTCGTACCACCCCGAGAAACCGGCCAGAGCTTGGAACGACGATTTGGAAAACGAGCTGGTGGCACAAAACCTGGCGTTGTGCCTTCCATTTGAAGCCAGGAAGACCTCATTCATGCTCACACCAAAAACAAATAATGTTTGACGCAGACTCTATGGATACATATACGTATTCCACATAGCTGCGGCCATCGTAGGCCATAAACTCCAACTCGTCGTTGAAGTATTCTGACTTGGTCGTTCATCTATCGCGTGGATCGTGCGCGTGTGTGTGGCGGGAGAGGATCTACGTGTGTGGTAGGGGCAGGTACTTGACGTGGATTGGTGGAGAAAAAAATTCAAACTTTAAGCGCAACTTTTTGCTCCCATAAAGATCGTACATAACAACAGTTGCGAGAAATGTTCGCAAACCACAACTTTTCTCGCAACTTTATGCTCCCATAAAAAACGGCGTGTGAGGAGCGATGGGGCGCCTGAAGCGCCGGTTGAACGACCCCGGCACATTGGACGCGAACGCGCCGACGTCAAACGATTGGGCTGAAGACCTGAGTTTTCAAATATTAGCAAGAACAGGTGAGTTTGCAATGACCGCGTGACGATTTTCGTCGTCACCGTAGCTTCCAACCCACCTTTCGCGCACTGCCGGGACAAGCGTTTCAGATATCCAATCGTGCCAGGCCGAATCCAAGTCCGGTGCCGTACCATCTTCACGAGCAGGAGACAACAGTCCCGTCCCATTTGGAAGTCCACCGTCTCGTTGCAGAGCAGTCTGCAACGGTACCCACCGGCCGTCAATTTTTGCCTCCGCTCCAGACACGTCGGGCCACATGGTGGGGCTGTGATTGCCCCATACATACACCCCGCGAACGCCTGGCCCCTCGAGCTGGAGGATATTTCTGTCTTGCCTCGTGCGAACGGCGTGCTGCCTCTCCGGCTCTTGCTGTGGGAGCGAGACATCCCCGGACAGCGGCTATAGGTCAGGCAAACGGGTCAAGTTCGCACGTTGTGGAGTCAGAGCGCTGTTCGTAGCGGGGAGTTCCATCATCAATAGGCAATATTGACAAGCTCTCCTCACAACCCGTTATCTGCAGTATGCACAATAGCCCATACCCAAGACATCGTATAACATTAGAGGAAGCATCAGTCACCGGAGCGTACGAACGTATCAATGAAGAAACCAAGTCCGGGGGGTCCCTCGAGGTGTATACACAACAAGCATCGACACGGAGCGATATTAGTCGATTCAATCAAACATAGTCAGGAGCAGCACTAGCTGAAAATTGTGTGAAGGGTGTGGAAACCACGGTGTTCAACGGCAGAATACACAACCTTCATACAAACATCAAGGCAAGACGTACCGTACGTGCTCCCCCTGAAGTCTGTTCCAGAGTTTCTTCTGAACAGAGGTTTTCCGCCAACATCGCCGACAAGCGATCCTGGTCCAAGCGGGCGAGGCTGCTGAAGTGACTGCGCGGAATGGATGGCGCGCTGGTGGCGGCCTGCCACGTCGAAAATGGTAGTAGTGAGAAGGTTGGAGTCTTTCCAGGGTTGCTTGGGGTCAGAATCAGTTGGGATCTGACCTTGTTGATACTAGTCTCCCCGACGATAGTTCCAATCACCAGCTGTGCTAGGGCAGAGCTCATCAAGCAAGCACCGACTACACGAGCAGCCATTGCACTTGCTAAACGCACAACCACCGCACATGCTAAGTGAACAGTGCATGCGCAAAAAAGGAAAATGCCAAATAGTCCTTGATGGGATAAGCACTCGAAGGTCTCCAGCTACCGCACGAAGCGGCGTCAAGCGGGTACAAGCACGGCACACAAGGTCCGCATGATAAACAAGGCGTGCGCAAACAACGGGATTGAATTAATTCACAACACGCTTCGTCGTTCATGAGAACTGGCGAAATCTTCCTCTCAGTCACCATGAGACAGTTTGTGCATGCCGGGTTGGCCACTACAAGCACCCTGACCCCGTCCTTCGCACACTTCGCGAGGGCTCTGCCGTGCTCGGCCATGATCGGCACATTCTTGGCTATCAGATCCCGACGCTCCATACCCTAGGAAACGAAAGAGGAACGGAACGCGGTGTGTAGGCGGAGGTTTCGTTTGGCTTCAGGTGGATCCAAAGGCATATCGATGCGTTCGAATGAACTTAGGAAACAGGAGAGCCGTGTAGATGCTTCATAGCTGAGGTCCATGAGCCGCATCTGATCACCACGCGTGGATGAACACTGCTACATCTACCATTCTGTGTTCTACTGGCGAACTCGACAAAAAGTACACCTAGTTGCCAACCGACCGATCTTTCGAGGGAGAATTTCCTAGAGGGTCTCACCGGCAGCCGCGGAAACCCTCCGAGGAGGACAGCCACGTCGGCCCCCTTGAACGCCACCTCCGGATCGCTTGTAGCAACAACTTCTGTCACCTAGATGGCCAAAATGTTGATGAAAGGGGACGTTCTTCAGCGCTAATAGTTCTTGCATTGTACAATGCTTCTGCCCATCGTGAAATATATTAGACTCATATCACGTTGACGGATAAGATTTTAAGAGCCAAACGCATCCAGAAATCATAATGCATAACCTAAAGATCGCACGTGCGTGAACGTGGGCGGAAACAAGCCCTATGGAAACAAACACAGGTAGGCAAGAGTGTGGGATGGGTGGCGACCCTTCGCAGGAGAGGTAGTGACGGATTGAAGCAAAACAATGCACGAGCGCAAAACCTTTGCCCGTGGCGAACATTTGAACCCCCAAACATCTTGTGAATAGGGTTGCGGCACTCCGGTGCAAATGAAAGCATCAACGCTGCCATTGCATGGCAAGCCCGCCCAAAGTGAAGCACTATCGGTGCTCGGTCTCCGACGGAATCCGTGTGGAAACCAAGCACTTGGAGGGAAGCGACATGGACTTCCCTCCAGATTTCCTTCTTCCGTTCATGTGTTCAGCCATGTGACGCGCAATAAGACAGACCCAAAGGGAAACATTGGCAAGTGCATAATTGAGCTGTGGCCTGACTCGTGAGTCTAGACCCAACGCTGACCACGCTATGGGGAATTCCCCCGCAATCAGCAACCCACCAGGTCGGAATTGCAGTCTTGAATTTCCATGGCGAAACCTTGCAGAGCCCCGACGCACGCCTCGATGTCTAGAAGTCGTAGCCTGACTTTGCGACCTTCCCCGAACACGCGGCCGTGCATGAGGAGTGGCACGAGGGCGTAAGCTATTTGACCCGCACCCCCGGTAATGGCGACACACACATCACCTTGTTCAGATAGTGGAGATGACCGCCTTGGGTTCGAAGAGGTGCCGTGAACCGCCGCTGTCGGTTGGTAGCTTAGCGGATAGGGAGGGAGGTAGAGCAAGCGGAGGTGGGGTGCTGCGGGTCATTCTGTTGTTTTCGTTTTCGATCTTGGAAAGCCTAGAGGTTGGGAGCGCCCATGCCTTCTGCGTGGGCGGCGGCAACTTGCCAGCGTACCACATCAGCTGACAACGGTAGGATTGAGTAGGAACTGGACCCACTGCATCACCAAGAGAGTACTAGCCAGAAATGTCTTGTGTGGAAAGATACAGCAGTGTTAAGGAGTGTGGCTGCTAGCATTAAATAGGGTACATCTTATTGTTGATAGGATGTGGGTCGGTCAGGAGGTATTCCTTCTTGTACCCCTACCCCCTAAGAATTGTCTACTCTGTGTACCCCGTGAAATGAAGTTGGATCCCCACTTCATCTCAGACCCTTGCTGATCGTCTCTCAGCAATAATAAGCAACTTTGCCATCTCAACGTGGTCGTGGACAAGAGTGCCAACGACAGAACCTTCATCTATCTCTAGGAGCAAGCTACCGCCCACGGCTTCGCCTCCTTAATTAAAGCAGTACCTCTGTACACACACCTATTTCGTTTACAACACATGTTTCGGCCCGGTGGGCCCGTTCAACAAAAAAATATCTGTCAAACAGTCAGAGAGCGTCCGGAGACAATAAAGAGGAGTACAAAAGCGACAACGATGCATGGCCAAAACCCAACAGCAGCTGGGCACACCATGTGCCGGTACCGAAATAGTTGAAATAGTCTACAGCAGGTGATGTGCTGTATGTTGTAGGTATTGACATGTTGCCTCTTAGATTGCAAGCTGTATGTAGAGAGGCATTAAATATAAGCAGCTGACCTGTGACTGGAGACACCGACAGGAGTATCTTGGGTCACAAACGCAAGCGCCGTCCCCCAAAAGAGCGCGAACAGCCGCATCACTACGGTCGTCGGGTCTATTGTCCATCGCACCGACGGCGGATGCGGCGCAAAACCGGGGATCTGCGTACAGGATTTTTCATCTTCCTAGGATAGGTTTTTGTATCTGCGGAGCACCCCTCTTCTCCGGAGATTGCCGTATTGGATCGCTGAAGCCCGCCGCCCTCGAGCTACGAACCACAGCGCAGCTCAGCGAGTATCACCTTCACGCAGAGCGCGAGAGGTGTTCGTATCCTCGCCATTCCGTGCCTCGGTTGACAGCATATTTCATCATTCTTGAGGAGTGAATAACCTTCGGTAAATCAAGAGAGAGCGGAGAGATTGTGGTTAGAGCTGCAGATTTTTGAACCGGCACACCGACGGCGTTGGAGGGCAACTAACTGCAGCCATGATCGGGACGGCTCTCGACTGGGCGCACCTGTCATTTGTTGCGAGCGTGTTATGCCTATCCACGATAGGGCAGTACGTGCTCCTCGCTGTTCATGCTCTGTTTCCGTTTCCTCGGGCGCTGGAATGGCTGCATCGCCGGTCTCGACCACTACAGAGGTGATGAACGGAGGTGTTCTCCTCGCGGCTGCTGTGTAGCTGTACTACAGCAGGTTTCCGGAGTTGAGGCCGGTTTCACCTTGCATCTCGGCAGCACGGTTCTTTGACTGTCATGCGGGGATGATATGCATACCACATTCAGCAGTAGGCGTGCCACCGGGCAACAAGACAGCAGTACGCTGTAGCTCAGCGCTGACTTGTAACCTTGGTATAGCCTAATGGTTTGATTTCGGCTTTCAATAAGCGGCCGCTGCTGCGGTTGTTGCGGCTACACCACATTATTTAACGAATTTTATACATGCAATGAACTTTTGTCAAGAATCGCATGGCTCGTGGTGGAGCGAAAGGTGTGTGCCAGGACATGTACTCTCTGCTGAATTGTCTCGCGGTTACCACTGCGGCTCCACAGGATCGCACCTATCCAACAAGGGCATGTGATGGCCCTCTTGCACTTTTCGGCAGCACGGGTGTTGTCTGGCTTCGTAATCGCGGACGTGGCACAGATGGGTCATCTCTGAGACTGCCTACAATCGCACATGCCATCAACGACGTCTGCTGTTGGTCGGCTTACAAAGTGTTTTTCCGTCGCGCCCCGCTTCCAGTCTGTTCCGAGCTAACTTGGGGATGCGCTCGGCCGGAATCGAGGGTCGAAGGTCGGCCAGGGAGCTGGCGGAGGCCGTTGGGTTTTCCTTGGAGGATCATCACGCCGTAACCGCCGACGGCTTCGTCCTTGTGTTGCATCGCCTCGTGACCCCAGATAGACTGGTGAGTTGGTGAAGGTGGGTGACTGGGTGCACCCTACTGCTGCGAAGGAACACATGTGTTCATCTTCCTCTTCTGTCTCCTCCTGACTGCTGTCGGCGCAAGTCATGTGCCTCTTGGCGATAAGGTTGTTTTTTCGGACGGCTTCATCTATGCCCACCACCACACCGACGTGTTGGGCATTCTTCATCCCTCCGACCTCCTGTCGCGCCTGTTGTTCCTCTCGTATTGTTGGGAGGTTTCACGTGGCTCAATCAAGCGTTTGAAGCGGGTCTTGGGTCCCCCCTCCGCCGTAGCCACCTCGTGGTTGTGCCCGTTTCGCTCGCTTGATTGGACTTACCCCCATATGACCCAGACTGACTCACATGTAGATCGTAAATTTCAATAGCCGCCCCATTCTCCTTCTCCCCACCACCGCCTTTTTTGTGTCGTTGCCGCGCCGTGTGTGACCGTTGCATTGAAAGCGGCCACCTGGTACTCATGCAAAGCCTAAAGGAGCGTGTTGATTTTCATATTTTCCCGCCCTCCACGGTAGAAAAATCAACGATTCAGCGGATATCATCGAATGAGAGTGGTGGGCAAAACCGAGGGTTCGGCACTTTTTCCCATGGCCCCCTCCCCAACACCGCAGTCCGTAGTGGTTTTGCTGCCGTTGGGCTGCCGTTGAGATTTTGGCGTTCCCCCTGGCGTGGTGCAATCCGTAACAAACTATCTTTCCCGTACGGGGCGAGTTAAGAGGTTGGCCAACAAAGCCCCCCCCCCCTTTCCCCGACACGAGAAAAGCAGGACGGCACCGATGGTGATGGCGGTGGACGCTGTGAAGCCAAGAACATCAAGAGGCCAAGACCGGCGGTTCTTCTGATGCACGGTTTGATGCAGGACTCGGAGGCGCTTCTTTGCGGGGGAAGGTGGGAGTTGTTCACAGGCCGAACGTCACTGGTGTATGTATCTTGTGCGGTCTTGGATTGGGCTCAAGTAAATGCCGCAACGTTTGCCGCACAAGAGCCATGCACCCCACACACGCCCCGAACTCCGCTTCGCAGCAACATTTTGCCACTGATCTGCCCTTCCGCGAAATTTTGTTCCAAGTATTGTCACACCGATTCATCGCAAGATCTGTACGCCTACATGGTTTGTTCTTGCCAATGGCTGTGGCCATGCTAATTGAGCGATCAGGCGTAGACTATTCCCGTGGTATAATACAACCCACGCGCGTACGTCCATTCCACTTGTTTCAGAGACCACGCGCTTGGGCTGCGGCTAGCGGCGGCAGGGTTCGATGTGTTCCTAGGCAACGCCCGGGGCAACCGCTATTCCCACAAGGTGCTCCACTCTCTGTTAACTGACTGTACTTGGATGTGTTGTATCATCGATTGTCCCCCGCCCCCCTTTTTGCACCTCAACATCGCTCCAGTTTAGCCTTTCCGTGGAAACCCCGATGTTCATTTTTCACTCTCTAGGTTAAGTAGTGCATGCTTGCGCTGTGGTTGGTCCTCTGATGTAACGAAATCCATTTGCTGCTTCACCTGCGACTGCAGTATTTCCGCTCCCCCCCAGCACTGAAGAAACACTTAGGACCTAACCATTGTTCAATCAACCCCGCAATGAAACGCGTGCTCGTGCGCTTTGGCGTTGGAAACAAAAACCATCCCTCAGCACCTCCGACGATCGCCAGTCACCTCGGACGCGTACTGGGACTTCAGCATCGACGAGCTGGCGCGGTACGACACGCCGACCATGATCGATCACGTCCTCAAGGTTTCGGGGTGAGGAGTCTCGAAACTGGCGACGCGGTACTTTAGCACTCGCGCGCGCAGATTGACGATGTAGTTTTTGTCGCAACAGGTCTTGAATGGTTTGCTGATGGCGGCGGTGGCACAACCCACCACCGCAGGAGAGTATTTTGTTGTCGGCTAGAAGCGTACTGAATTTTTGTTTGTTTTGTTTTTTCGGTAGAAGCGGTCGTGGTGTGGGTGCGCCGTACCACGTACCACGATACCACCGGTATCGAACCTGCTGGGGACGGAAGGCAGCTCTTCCTCTCCGACTCGTTCCCTCTCCGCCTGCTCGCGTCACCGCGTGGACCCACGCAGACAAACCCAGCTGTGCTACATCGGGTTTTCCCAGGGAACGGCGCAGGCGTTCGCGGCCTTTTCAAGCGACCCCGACCTCCAGGCGAAGGTGTTCCTTTTCGTTGCGCTTTCTCCCGCCGTCCGCGCGAACCACTTGTCCAAGAGCCTGCTGCTGTCATTGGTCCAGGCCAATCTCAGGTATATCGTGGGGCCGTGCTACCCTGGGGTCGGAGTGTGGGCTAGTGGTGTTGTTGTCGTTTCGGGGGTCTGCTGTCGGGAAGGGGGGGTAGAACCAGCGGAGAAAGGTTGACCCAAGACCTTGGTTATTTTCGAGTGAGCAGGGCATGCGAGCCCGTGCACGGCAGAAGGGAGGGTCGCCCTTCTACAAACACATATTGTACACTTAACCCCCCAGATCTCCGTAGATCCGTATCTAGTGCCGAGTACACCTAGCAAGTGGTCCACGAATACACTTGGGATGCGATATCTGATCCCGCAACGAATTTGGTGAAAGGAATACGGTGGTGTTTGGATCGGACGGTGTGGTGTAAGTGCGCGTGATTGTCTGGCAAATGATGATATCGGCGATGTTTTGGCGCGATCAGGGCACGAAGGTTTTCGCTCTGGTTTAGGACGGCCTTCCTTTGGGTGAAATCCTTGCTTGCTTTGTTGGGTTTGGGACAGGTACACCAGCCGGCGGCGCTCATCTTGTTTGTTTGTTGCCAGCAAAAGGTACACAGAGCACAGCAGTTGGCGCGCGCACTGTCCTGGAAAACAAAACAACGCAGGTACCAAATCAATGCCAACCCTCCCTTGCCCACACCCGGCGCTCTGTTTTCGCCTGGCTTGGTTGGCAAACTGACGAACCGCTAATCAGGTTCATCTATCTCCTGTTCGGGAGAAGACGGATGCTACCGGTGGCCCTAACGTGGCAGAGGATGATGAGCCGCGAGTTCTTCGTGGCCACCATCGACGGGGCTATTTCCTACCTGTTTTCGTGGAGTGCGTCCGAGGTTGGTTTTCCCTTGACCGGCAGTTATGCTTCACTTTTTTGCACACGATGTTTCTGTGTGCCTGTGCCAAGCTGCAATTTTTGCTTTCTCTCTTGAATAGGTGTATAGCATCGAAGAGTGAAGTATGGTTTTCCTCCCGGTTGGTGGAACGCCTCCTCCGACCTGCTCGTCTCCGTCTGGAATGGGCAATGTTCTTTATAACACCTTTGTAGTAGTGCTTGTTTTCCATTGTTGACACCCTCGCCTCGCTCGAGTACCTGCTTGCCTCCATATCCCCTCTTCCCGCCTTCCTTTTGAGATGTGGAACAACCTCTGTTTCCCTCTCGCTTGGTTTCACCTGTGTCGCACAGGTTTCGGCCAAACGGAAACTGGAGGTGTACCCGCATATCTACAGCTTCATCTCAGGTGGGCGGGATTGGAAAAGCGACAACTTGTGGTTGACAACGACCCAACTGGGAGGAGAGAAAAAGCGACTCTTGACACGCTTCTTCTTTGTTAAGGGCGTCTCAAACCTCCAACTCAGTCTTCCCGTGTGGCACGAGGCGTATCTCTATTTTATTGCTTGTGTGGTCGTACTGAATACGACATTTTGGCAGTACACGCGCCTGGCGAGGTGTCTCCAATAGGACGGGAAGGATGGAAATATTGCGTAACTGTTTTATGAAACCTCCCATGATGTGAGGCGACACTGTAAGAGGTGGTAACGACAATCAAGACGACAAGAAGCGAGTTTTTCCTTCGTATTTCGGGAGGATGTCAGGGCAATTTCCTAGGGCGTGCTAGCCATCAACGAAACCGCCAACATACCGTAGGTTGCATATGATATCACGCCCCCTGGACCGAGTTTCGAAGCCCGATACATCGGCGGGAAAAGCAGTGACGGTGCCGAAAATTTCGTCTCGTCGAGAGCTTTCCGAAAACGCATTCTCCAAGGTCGGCATCCTCTTGGCGGTGGAGAAATCGAGCTTTGAAAATCGGTCCAGTGGGTGTGGTATCTTATGCAACCTACGGTAGACTGGTCAAGTTGTCACAGACGCGCCCTCGGCACCCCGCCTGAGATGCAAAACCACCACCCCCGACCGCCCTCAACATTTTCTCCAGGTCCAAGCCACCACGTTCGGTCACTAACCCTCTCTGCAAGTTCCATGGTCCCCGTGCGTATCCAACCGCCAGCGAAGTGCGTGCTTCTCAGGTTCCAGATGGTGTGCTCGATTACTAACACTCTCTGCTCGTTCCATGTCTCTGTGCACGTACCCAACCACTATAATAGTGAAGTGCGTTCTTCACTGGTTCCAGATGATGTACTCGGGCCGCCTGTCGATGTTCGCCGATGGGCCCGCTTCGCAGTACGTTCCCGTGACGTACGACGTCGCCAGGGTGTCGTGTCCGGTGGCAATCGTGTACGGAGGCCGCGATCATTTGGGTGAGCGTGCCCCCCCTCGCCTTCACGTGTCGTCGTCGGTCGTTGCTGCGGGTGTGTTGCCGTGAAGTCATGGGAGGGTGTCCACTATGTCTTGTTCCGGCCTCTCCCAAGAAAGAAACAAGAAAGAGAAGAGTTCCAGGGATGGGGGCTTTTTCCGCACGCCCTTGGCTGTGAGAACTCGAGCTTCGAAAGCCAGCATAGGATGCCATCTCTCTTCCTCTAAAGGTAGTTGCGGGAAACCTGCTGGCACGAACAGACAACGTGAGGCGGTTCTTTATCTTCCCAAATAATGAGCGAGGACACAAAACCGAAGACCGGCAAGCTGCGTGAAACGCGCCTGAAAAAGACTGGCGTGCGAAGCCAGAGACACCCTGTACTTTTGCCATACCCCCTGGTCGTCAACACGCGCGCGCAATCCGTTTCCCCCGTGTGTGCCCCCGCCTGTTTGTCGACGGGTCCCGAGAGGTCGTCCTCGCCGCACGCCGTGGGCGCTCAATGACCCTTCGTTCCGCCGCTTCGTATTTCCACCGCTGCCGACGCCTGTTGCCCCGCAGTTGAGGTGGAGTCGCTGATAGAGATTCTGCCGAACGTGGTCCTGTCCATCCGGGAGGACAAGTACGAGCACCTGGACACCATGTGGGCGGACACTGCGAAGGACACGGTGTTCCCGAAGGTATGGAGGCGTTTTTTGGCGTGCCCACACCCTTTGCCGCGCGCGTGCTTTTGTTTTTTTGGTCCCCTCTCGAGAAGGTGTGCTTTTCGCCCGCTCTCCGAGCCGCGCTCACCGGTTTTGTTTCGCATATGCGAAGCCTTAAAGAGTTAAGAGAGTGTGCGTGCCGTGCAGCGCCTGGCGTTTGTTGATGGCCTGTATCAGGTAACACAAAATCGCGATTGCGGGGTGCGATGTAGGCGGTAGACCACCGCTATCTTGACCCGGTAGCACCTATCTTCTGCCAATGGCTTGGAGAGCTGGTACTGTAGCTAAAAGGTTATTTGCCAACAGCCGCGGTACGTTGTCATGGCACGAATCATAACCACCGTGCGCCAGTGCGGCTCAAGATGCTCGGTCGTGGTTCTTTCATGCACTCACTGAAGCTGTGCTCCAGCTGCTCCCTGGCGTCCGACGTTAGCGGCAGTGACACGCGTCGGAGATCGGTTTTCCTGGTGCTGTGCAGTCGATGCATGGCTGTTGCCCTCAGCACCGGACCCCCCCCCCCCCCCCCCCCTGGGCGCCCTTTGGCTGAACAGGGGGAGACCTTGGTGCGCCCAAAGGGTCCCACGACGGGAAAAGGGGGGCCTAACATTTGGTGACTGGGCCTT